ACATGAAAAGTAGATGCTTATTGAGGATCAATGATTCCATAAGACAAGCCATAGATTTATTTTTTCATAAGAAAATTTTTCTTCAGTAGGGGAAGGAATGTTTTCTATATGAAGGATACCATGTTTGTCTGTGGAACATTGCCTTAAGTAAGTTGAAGCCGAGAAATGCTTCTGATTCGTTATTGGTGGAGGAAGCTACAACCATACTTATTGGTAACTGTTAATATTATGCTTGTAGAGATTGAGTTACTTCCTGTACTTATCGACGGCAAGTTTAGTTTGCAGTGGGCTTTCATGTGTAAATGTTGCAGAAAAGGCACGTTTGCTCGTAGTTAAGATGTATTCTAATAACATTGTCTTTTTTTCAGTGATGAAGGGAAGGTTAGGAAGGTCTTGAAGGTGGAGCCACTCCCTGATGGGTCTGGTCAATTTTTTATCCTTGGTAATGCTCATTTCCCTTGAATCCTTTCCAAGAACTAAAGTTCATTAATACATCACTGGTAGATCCTTTTCAGTAGTAGGTTTGATGCGTTTATCACTCTAGCCTTAGGATATGTCTCATTGTTTGGTATAGAGTTTTCTCATTGTCAAATGTCAATAATGTGCTAGAGGAATCTGTGCCCATGCTGCTGTTGGTAGATCAAACCTCGTTTGATATATCTTCTAATCAGAACTAATGGAATGGGAAAGATTAACTTATATTTGTGCACCCCAACACCCATTTTTCTCTTTTTTCATGTCATGCTCTTTGTGATTATAATCTATTTGTGACAGATTGAGGCCTAACATTTCTAATGGCTTTTGTTGAAGGTGTTCAAAACAAACTTGTAAACATGGACGAAAGCATTTATATTCCTATCACCTGAGCAGAGTTCACCGTCCTCAAATCAGCATTCAGCGTATGATACATCTCTCTCTATTTTCACCTTTATAGACTTTTTATCTGTGGTGTTAGGATGTATCATGACATACTTTCAAGTCATAAGATGTATAGCTGAGTGTCAATGTCAACTTGGATCAAATCTTATTTATCTTGAGCAAATTTGTTCAACAAATACTACTTGCATGGCAGCATACATAAATTCCAAAGTTTGGATTGTTTGAATGAGAAGCGTTTGGAAATGGCATCGCACACCCCAAACTTGGCTTTCCCTTAATATTTCTTTTACAAGTGAAAGACCTTTGGACACGAGTCCATATGTTGTTATTGTCATGACTGTTTTCTAACTTGCTTTGAACAACCTTTTTCTTTTATCTGCAGTTTATTTTGCCGTATCTTTTAGGATTGCATGCCTTTGCGAATTCAACCAAACCGGATGAGGCAACCCATGTGAATAATTCCAACCCTAGATATGGGGGAGATTACGAATGGAGCAGATAGTTTGAAATTTTGTCATAGGATGACCTTTCTAGTTTACCTAGTGTTTTCTAAATATGTTAGAAAATTGTTGTTGGATTGTGCTTTAGACTGTTGCTAGCCATTCAAGTTAGTTTCGCTTAAATTTCGTTGCATTGCAAGGTTAAAGTTCATGGTGATGGTTGGATATCACCCGCATATCACAATCAAAGGAATGAATATCGGATATGTTCATCCCAAACAAGTATTTATGATGGTGACGAACAATTTGAAGAAGAAATAGTCGCTGCTAATTACATTTTATATTCTAAAGATCATCAAGCTAGCTACAGAAATCAATAAAAAATACTGAGTAGCCGCAAACTGAAATGTAGGCTTTCCCCCACCAAAATTAATATTCTCATATAAGTTATTTGCCCATAGCAGACTACCAATTTTTCACAGCCTGCAGAAAGAAGTTGATTATAGGCATATGTAATTTCCCTCAATTGCCACCACGCTGCAAAATGATGACTATGAACAGGATGCCATCAACTCCAAGCCGAAATGCTTCTGGAAAATATCAAATCACAATAATCAGAACACATCAAATGTCCATAGGTTCTTGAGATCATGTATCACTTTCCTTATTGAAGCTTATACATAGAAAACAAACGAAAAGTGCCGTAATGACAGGATCGGATTTACATAAAAACAGTCCCACAAACAAGTTCTGGACTTGGCACGCCAAGTTAAACTTAGATGAGCTGATTATGCAAAACTTAACACTATGTTCGAATAAACAATTATAACAAAGACCAGGGAAAAGATATATTTGTATTTTGTTTCGATAATTGAATTAGTTTTCCCAATTATTTTCTTTTTATAAAATAATTATATTAAAATATATATTTTACATCTGAAATTTTCTTTTTTCTTTTACTAGTTTTCCTCCAAACCGGGGTAAATAAGAAATAGTGTGTTTCAAGGGAAAACAAGGGATATTGAACTCCTTTGGCCTTCCCTTGCTTAAATAATAAAAATGTTATTCAAACAAGGGGAAGATGCTCACTTCTCCTTTCCCATATTTATTCGAGCATAGGGTAAAGGATTCAAAAGATTATGAATCAAACCTCTGCAGGCTTCTCGGCTCTTCATCCAAATTATCAATACCATCTCTTCCTGAATACTTCTTACTTACGGATAAAATATCTGCAACGTCTTTCAAACCTTGAAATAAACAAGTCAAGATTAAGATTAGGCATTACAATCAATAAAAAAAGGAAAAAAAGGAAAATTTACAGCTCAATGAACACATGATTTGTGGACCCTTGGAACTTTAGGCTGCCACGTACAAATAATATTGATACCTCGGTCAATGCACACTTTATTTTACCAAAACAGATCTTTTTTAAGCCTTTTACCAAAACAGATTGAAGTACAATGCCCCGATGCATGTATTTTGGCCTGGAGAAACCACAATTTTAAACTCTATAAATACAGAAAGATACCTTTGGAGTTGGAGTTCCTGATGTAAGCAAAGCACGAGATCTACCGGAAAGTTTAAGTTGCTCCTACAAGAAAATGTAAAATCAGCAATAAGATTATACTCATAAAATTATCGTTCCCTTCTAGTGCAGAAATACAGATTGCACTATAAGAAAATATTTGACTCGAGGTACCCAAAACTTTAGTAATTCTTCATATAATACTATAAGTGAGAATGTTAATGTTATTTTCAAACGTAGAAACAAGTTAAAGTTAGGAAAAATAAAACTAGCCTTGTTTGAATGCTAAAGAAAACGAACAAGACACTCTAGTTCCTTAAGAAAAGCTAGCAAAGTCGACAGTATAGATTTAATCCGAATATCCTTAGGTATGACTGAGGCCCTTCTGACTAACTATGTTTGCCGAGGTCTTAACACTCTTTAGAAAAAAGGATGAGTTAGTTAGTGGTATGGTTTTCGATATAGAGAATTTCGGGGACCATATCCAGTGTAGACTAGAGAGATGTGTGAGCTCCGAGATGCAAAACTCTCAGTCGCACCATGATGTCTACCATAGCTTAGAGAGTGAGTATTTGAGAATACTCACTAAAACATTTTTAAAACAAACTAATTTGGGCGCAAGGTCCAACACTCAAAGAGTGGGCTAGTAGAACACAACAAATAGTAGAACAGATAACAGTAGACCTGATAGCTTGAGATTTTCAATGATGTTTTTAGTATGTTTTAGTTGTTAGTATGTAGCTCAACCTTCGAATGTTTCCGTGGACAGATTAGTAGATCCAACAGTTGAGAAATTTTAGAGAGATCGAGATCCAGATTCAGTGCAGAGCATGTCACACGTTTCTTAAAACGACATGTATATTCATGTATTCAGTTATATTTGTAAAGTCAATTAAGAGTCAATATATAGGTATCTATATATATTGAGGGCTCTCACAGGTAAAGAGTCGTTTTAAAGTATAAGAAAATAAGAATAAGTTGATTAGCCACTTCGGCAGGTTCCGATTGACTGTGTGTAGTATCAGTGTAGAGTGTTACACCAATTCCCCAGTGTAGCAGCTGGTATAACAAAAGGGGTTAGCTTACCTGCCGAATCAACAAAAAGCAAAAAACCAAACCGCATCCACTTAGAAAATGCTTCATCTAAGATCGTTAATACAACTATAAACTGGTTACACATTTATGGCTCTAAGAGAGCAACTACTTAGACAAATATAAATAAGAAATCACCGCCAGAATCCCCATTCAGAACAGTTATCTGCCGTGCCGAGGCCAATTGCCTAATCTCCGTTGACAGACGACGCACCTATAAATTAATACAAAAAAATCAATATTACAACAAAGATATTTAAACTTTAAGCTCTATTTTATCATATACCTGAGCCGGAAGGGCATCTGAATCATCAGCTTGCTCCCCAGAGCTTTCCAACACCCTCAACAGTGACCACAAAACCACCACCAAAATAAAATTTAAAAGTCAGAATTTAAAAAAAGAAAAAAAAATGGAAACGTAGTCGATCAAAACAAATCACAAAGGACCCAAACATCAATGACGGGTCATCGGGAGCAGCAAAAGATCTTCGCTTTAGCCGCTATCGCCTTATATGAGGTCGAGGAGAAACGGCGTCGTTTGAACTAGATAATGCAGAGTTAGGCCTTATTGTCTGGGCTTTTTAAAGCTTAGACTAAAACAAATCCAACAAACTATCCATGACCATGAGCTCCAAATAATATTATTATATTTTAGACTCATTCCAATAGATCAAAACCTATATACTCATAAAGTCTGATCTATTAACTACGAGATGATTTAAAAGGACGAATCGTTAATCTCTTAGAAAATAACGTTTAATATTTAAATTTGGGTGTTAGAAACGAAATAGACTGGGTTGATTATAAAACAGTAATCCGTCATTGTCCACCATACTTTTGAACAAGACATGCGTGGCCTAAAAAGTAAACACCAACACTTTGATTATTCTAAAATTCCATTCAAATTTGCCTTCTTTCGACCAAGTGCTCGCTGTGGCCCTACTACACATGTGACACTTGAACAATGACCCGAGCTTTAGATTTTTTATGCCAAAAGTGACATCGACGTTAATTATTGGATTTATATAACAATTGTTTATCCATCCTATAAGCTGTACTCTCATTTCAATTCTGTACCGCACTTCTCTTAACCTCAGAGAAAATGCAATCCTTGACTGTTATTTCTTGCTTGTTTCTGGTTTCCAGGGTTTATGCGGAGCTGATAACAAGACTGCCGGCTCAACCTGCCAATGTTTCTTTCAAGCAATACTCTGGTTACATTGTTACTGATGCCAAGCATGGTCGAGCTTTGTTCTACTACTTTGTGGAAGTGGATGCTGCAGACCCACTGTTGCATCCCTTAACTTTATGGTTCAATGGAGGTCTGGATTGAAGTATCTTTTATAAGTTTCATCATCACCGCTGTTTTAGACATAAATTGCAGTTTTTTTGTTTAATATGTTTCTTGGGGTAGGGCCTGGATGTTCATCTCTTGGCTTTGGTGCATTTATGGAACATGGTCCTTTCCAGCCAGGAGAAGATGGAAACTTGGTCAAGAATCAATATTCATGGAATTTGGGTAAAAGCTTTTAGTATACTCTTAAGTTTTGGAGTACTTGAAATTACTGTCAAGGCTTTGGTTTTCATTTTCCTTTTCAACAGAATCAAATATCTTGTATGTTGAGAGTCCAATCGGAGTTGGATTTTCCTACTCCAATACTAGCTTGGATTATATCGGCGTCAATGATACTTTTACAGGTAAATTCACCAGGAATTGAGGCATGTTGGTTAATAGTTTAACTCAGACCACTGATTTTGAGCCCTTTTCAGCTGAGGAGAATCTGAAATTTCTTGTTAACTGGTTCAAAGAATTCCCGCAATATAGGAACTCTGATTTGTTCCTGACTGGGGAAAGCTATGCAGGTAAACTTTTTTTTCTCTGTTTTGGTTAATTTTTGTAAAGCATGATAGTTTTCTGTTAAATGCAAATAAAATTGCAGGCCACTATGTACCACAGCTTGCTGCTTTAGTGCTGGACTACAATAAACGTTCCAATTGCAGACCAATCAAGCTCAAAGCTCTTGCAGTTAATCTCGAATTGCTTACAAAATGTTCTCAGCTTCATGTTACTTTGATATCCAACATTTTTTTGCTTTTTCCCCTATTGCTGCAGTTGGGAAATCCTCTTTTGGACTGGGAAATCAGTATTGACAACACTGAGTTCCTTTGGTCACATGGAATCATTTCGGATGAACTACTCATGCTGAGAAAGACAGTATGTAGTCGCCCTAGGTACGCAAAAGAGATGATTCATCAGAACATATCCAAAGAATGCAATGATGTGATACACAAAGAAGCTGAAGAAATAAGCGAGTATACCGACTCTGGGGATCTGATTTTGCCCCTTTGCACATCAACAAGCTCATTAGGGCAGTCTCTTTATCTAAGGAAATTCGATACACAACATGCAGAGGTAAGTGTTGCATTTATCTCCAAGGAATCTGAATTAATTTCAGTAAAACTATATGTTGCAAATGTTGATCTTTGACAGTTCTCGGCTCTGGCAGCTTGGGATGAAATCAGTCATCCCTGGTGATCCATGTATCGGAGATAGGATACATCGATACCTTAACAAGCCCCCAGTTCAAGAAGCACTCCATGCAAACACAACTCGTCTTCCGGACGCTTGGGAATTTTGTGGAGGGTCTCTCTTTACTTTCCTTAACAAATTCATATTTGCTCTAATGTGTGAATATTGGTAACATATACGGTTACTGCTGCAGGCCTGATTATCAAAGAGATAACTTAGGAATCAATATCATACCTATTCTATTGAAACTTCTGAGAAGCCGTGTTCCAATTCTGTTATTCAAGTAAGTCAAATCTTTGATGATCACATTCAAGTTCCATTAGCCTAATACTGTGCACCTCTTTAGATTTAACCCATAGCACAACACGTATGAGTGCACCTGAGGGGCATGTAGGTGTTTAAAAAAGAAGGATTATAGACTGAAAAGTTGAGGTATTTCAATGCAGTGGGGATCAAGATTCAAAAATCCCATTAACACAAACAAGGATAATTGGCAACATGCTAGCCAAAGAAATGAAATTTGTGGCATTGGGAAACTATGCTCCCTGGTTTGACACCATCCAGGTATGCAAAATATGCATAGTGGACTTCAGTTATGCTATCTTCATAGTATTTCTAATTGTTTATTGCCGCAGAATCAGATTGGTGGGAGGAGTCAATCATTTGGCCAAGCAAGGAATGGAAAGAAGGTGACGCTTTTGACGTTTGCTACGGTTAGAGGGGCAGCACATGAAGTTCCCTACACTTCTCCTTCACAAGCTCTCACTCTATTCCGGGCATTCATTAAGGGATCCCCTTTACCTACAACAATCAAAATCCCAAGTTGATTTTCACTCTCATGTTTTGCTGCTTCAGTTTGTGCAATAAAATACTTTTGTTATTTTATATAAAGAAAAAGTAAACTTTTGGAAAGTATGTGCATCAAGAATTAGCTAAAGTGTTGTATTATATGAAAATATAGCTATTGATGACAGCGAAAATGTTCCAATATGTTTATCAACTTGGTGTGTGTTTATATATATTAAGACCAGTAATTAATTTATATAATTAAGGTAGGGAAGAAAAAGTCATTATTAATTTCCAACCACTTAAATCAGCATGCATTGACTTCATTCTTATGATAATAACAACTTAGTTTAGATTATTAAGAATCAAGTCCAAAAGCAAAGTCTTGTGACTTGTGAGAGATAGCTCGAGTTTCTCTTTTTACAAGGGAGTGAGAATCTTCTTACGTGTTCTATATTTTTTGGCGTCACATGATGATCTTTTTGCTCTTTTGATAAAAAAAATATCAAAATCATCATAGATATATCTTAATAATTTATCAATTGTTTAGTGATGAAATGATTAAACTTGTTTGTTGGTGGTTGGAGATGAGTTAAATGGCCCATTTCAAAATAATTAGATGATAGAATATGATTTTTGAACGGATGTGAATATGTGATGTATATCATACAACATGTATGACTATGACTTGACGTGAAAAAAATATTTATATTTAATCAAGCCAACGGCTGCTATAATATAAAAGATTGTGAGATCAAAATTTTCATCAATTTGCTAGCAGAGTTAAATCAATTAAGGGGGGTTTTCATTAAGGGAAAGTACTGCTTAAGTCCTCATTGACTAAAACAAGCCAATGTTATCCTCTTTGAAAGAATCAAAAGAACAACAATAATTTTCAACTTATTTGATTTTACAAATTTGTCTATTTCGATACTTAATCCAATTAGTCGTATCAATAACAATGTATTTAATAAATGGTCCAAAGGGTTCCACGTGAAACAAAAACGAAACGGTCCATCTTGCCATGCAAAATTAACTATTTTTTTAAAATAATTTAAGTCAACGTTTTGCTGATTCTAATATTGAAATTAAATATTACATACCCATACATATGGTTTTAATTATTAATGCTTCGCCTTATATAAATGCCATGTTCCTTACATATTTTAAGGTTGAAAATTAGAGAAAACCATCAGTTCAACAATGGAGAACTATTCAGAGAAGTTGGTTCTTGGAGATGAAGAGATGACAATCAAACCTAGTAGCAGCGCTAGAGAAGAGAATCATGATTTTATAGTAATCAATAAGGTGAGCTTGCATTTATATATATGTTCATGATTTTATAGTGATCACAAGGTGATTAGGCGAGCTTGTGTTTAGCTTATCTTGTACTTGTAGTGCTTTGAAGGTGTTTACAGTACAAATCTAACATGTTTTGACTGAACCAAGGAGAATTCATTTATGGGGATATTAATTCAATTTCGTTTCTTGTTTTTATCTCTCTTATTTTTGGTTTGAACCTAATCACAAACACAAATGAATGATAAACTAAGAGTTGAAACTCAGATTTTCCTCTGGATTTTCGTTTTTGCTTGCTCGATGTGTAAGATGATTTGTTTGTAAATATGTAGGGAGGAGGAGAAGATAACAAAAAGGATACCTCAACCGCCATCAAAAAGGTAAAAAGAAGCTACGCTAACTTCAAGATGATAACAAATCTTTCTTCCTTGAATATATAATTACAATATCTTGTAGTATTTAGTGATGAGATAATATTTATATGAATAATAAGAAAACAAGTATAATTATCAATTTCATCTCTTTATTTTAGATTTTTGCTAAAAAAAATTTATCCTCATAAAGTGGTGCCCAAATGAGCTATTGATATGTAAGTTTTGAGAAAGGATTTAAAAAAAAAAAAACTCGATAGATTTTTTAATTATGGAAGATGAAATCAATTGAATTAATTTAATTTATGAACAAATTAATTGGATATGTAGATGAAACAAGTTATTATACAAATTTGTTTATCTATCACGTTAATAATTCTATTTGATTGAAATAGAATTAAAAAGATAATGACTTGATTAATAAAAAGATTATTCAGTGATCAAAATAAAATTAATCTGGTTTTTATTTGGGTAAAGATCCTAAAAGAAATCTAACTAAATCCCGTGTGTTTAACAGACTGCTTAATCTTTGGTTAAACAAAGTCCAAAGGCTTAAAACTCATGTATCAGTAGATGCTTAACCTTTGCTAAAACAAAGCCAAAAGGGAAAAGTTGCTTAAAAGAGTTGGGGATCCCTTTTGAAAGACTTGATAAAGCTCAAAACCAAAACCAAAGCAGTTCCATGGTCAGAACTCTGTCGAAATTGACCTGCTGCTGCCACGATATTTGCTCATCTTCTAGTCACTTACCCATCGTGCTCTCCCATTTAATCGGATCATACCGCCTTTTTTCCCTTTATTCAGGCGTTAAACATCACTTCATATTCAATATTAAAACCCATTATGAATGTATAGTAACTAAATGAAATTCTTTGAGTAAGTAATGAAGGACGAAAAACTTAAGCTTAATCCATCTACTATGAACAAGTATTTTATTGATTATATTTAAACAAGACTGTATTTATAGTTTAGAAATAAGTTATTGAATTCAAGATTGTATTTATCTTTTAGAAACAAGTAAATAAACGTGGTTTTAATTTTATAAGCTGGCTTTTTAAGATTTGAAGTAATAATAATTTATTTCCGACTTTATTCCTATAATATAAATATGTCAAGTTTTCAATTAAAAGTTATCTATTAACATTTAGATGTAGGAGTGTAAAATTAACCAAAAAATATAAGATAATTTTTAGGATAAACTATGTAGATAGTCACTTATGTTTTAGGTGTGACCGACTTTGGCACCAATTTAAAAATTAAGGAGAAACAGTCCCTAACATTATTCATATAATTTTTATGCTAATTGTCACGGACTTAATCGCTCAATAAGCCTCGTGCGGCCTTAGCTCCTTTTCGCCCCTCGCGATAGCTAAGACTTGTACATATTCTAGAAGCATTCTAGAGTCTTCCATGTTAGGTAGGAAATAATGGAGAATTCTAGAGAATCTCTCCCTACCGTAGGATCAAATCAATCTCCACCGTCCATTGAGGAGGTGGGATGCTATAAATAGGTGTAGAATCCTCATTTGTAAATCATCCAAGAGTTGTAAGCATTCAAGCATTCAACAAGCTTTCTCTCTAAGTTCTTTCCTCCCTTCTTTGTTTCCTTGCCAATCCTTTCTCTAGCACGAGTTCGAGTGAGGCTGACTTAGCTATCGCGAGGGGCGAAAAGGAGCTAAGGCCGCACGAGGCTTATTGAGCGATTAAGTCCGTGACATAATGCCCCCATAAAAAGCTTTGACGGTTGAGAAGGCTATTCAGAATTGAATCCAATACGAGAGTAATGTGTTTAGGTTTCCTGGTGGAGGAACGTAGTTTCCACAAGGGGATGACAAGTATATTGATCAGCTTGCTTCGGTCATACCGATTACTAATGGGACAGTCAGGACTGCACTTGATACTGATTGTGGGGTATGTCATGCTCGTGAAAGTTTTTTCACTTAATCTGTTTACTTGTACTCTTGGAGTGTGTTACTTTGTGATATGTGTAGGTGTTGAACCTAATAATTGGTCCGCTTTTGTAGGTTGCAAGATGGGGTGCATACCTTTGGAGTAGAAATGTTATTGCCATGTCGTTTCCTCTAAGAGATTCACATGAAGCACAGGTTCAATTTGCTCTTGAGAGAGGTGTACCTGTTTTTATTGGCGTCCTTGGAATCATAAAGTTGCCATGTCCATCTAGAGCTTTTGATATGGCTCATTGTTCTCGTTGTATGATTCTGTGGGGAGTAAATGGTGAGTAGATTTTGCTTTAGTGAGAACTTTGTATAGCAGAAGTTGACTGGTGGATCCTTATGGTTTTACTTATTTGTAGATGGAATGTACATGAAAGAGGTTGATCGTGTTCTTAGACCTGGTGGTTACTGGGTACCAACAAATCCACCAATCAATTGGAGGAACAATTACAAAGCTTGACAGCGTCCCAAGAAGGAACTTCAGGAGGAACAACAAAAGATTAAGGACATTGCCAAACTTCTTTGCTGGGAGAAGAAACATGACAAGGGTGAAATTGCCATTTGGCAAAAGAGGGTCAATGATGAAGCTTGCCATGGTAGGCGAGATGATTCCAGTTTCTACAAGGCTGGAGAAGCTAATGATGTATGGTATGAATTGTGCTTGAAACTTTTAAAATCATACAATTTGTAATAGAAACAATATTTGATCTCCTTGTTTAAGCTACAATCAGGAAAATAATTGTGAGTTGGTAAAATTGCAGTGAGGTAGATTGCTTGCTTCTGTTCATATTAGATTCACACCTGTTTACTTATATCATGGTTCATCTTGTCAATTGTAATAGAAGTTGCCTCATCCTTGCAAGCAATAGAAGTTGCCTCATCCTTGCAAGCAATAGAAGTTGAAACCTGCAATGCATATCTGATGTGTTGGGAAATAAAACGAGTACGAGTAATTTCTCTATAACCAGATTAGTGAGAATGCGAAATAAAAGCGAAAAAATAATACCCGAAATTGATAACGGAGTTCAGCCAATTTTGCCTACGTCTCCGGACTGCTGCAGATCTTTTACTAAGAGAGAAAATTTGCAGGTATTTACAAAACACTCACTACTCACAAGAAAGCTCTCTAGTATTGGGAGAAAGAAAGTATTTGGGATGATTTTGAAGCTAAATGGGCTAGGATATTTATAGTTGAAGCTTAAGGACTAATCTTGTAAATACCCTAAAGTGTGTAGTGGCTAAAATATAATTAACCCTATTACAAAAAATAAAAAAATTAACAGAATTAATTGCACCGAATTCGGTGCCCCCCATGCGCCTCCATTGTTGACTTTTATGTGCCCCCTTTTGTTGATATTTTCCAACAATCTCCCACTTGAAGATAGATTTTAATCTGCTTCACACCTCGATCAATGCAGCAGCATTTTTAGTCTTGTTATTCTAGCATGCCAACTGAAGCGGAACACAACTTCAGTTTGTCCATGGTCACCGTCTTTGTCAACATGTTTGCCGGATTTTGAGTTCCACTAATCTTTTCAAGTTTCAAAATCTCATCTTCCAGAAGAGACCGGATAAAATGATACCGTAATTGTATATGCTTCGTCCTGGAATGAAAAGACAGATTCTTTGCTAGATGTATTGCACTTTGACTGTCGCAATACAATACATTGTTTTCTTGTTTCTTGCCTAACTATTCCAAGAAACTTTAGAGCCAAACCATCTCCTTGCTGGCTTCCGTAACAGCGACATATTCTACTTCAGTTGTGGAGAGAGAAACTATCTTCTGTAGTTGAGAAACTCAACTCACTGCGGTTCCTCCTAGAGTATAAACATACCCTGTAGTGCTCCTTCTGATATCAATATTTCTGGCTAAGTTAGCATCTACATAGCCTGTCAGTATTGTATCTCCACCTTTGAAACAAAGTGTTTTGTTTGTAGTACCCCGCAGATATCTGAGGATCCATTTGACAGCTTCCCAGTATACTTTGCCTGGATTATTCATGTACATGCTAACAGCTCTCATTGTATGAGCAATATCTGGTCTAGTACAAACCATGGCATACATCAGACTTCCAATTGCTAAGGCATACGACACCTTCACCATGTGTGCACGTTCTTCCTCCGTCTTTGGTGACTGTTCTTTAGAGAGTCTAAAGTAAACACCTAAAGGTGTACTTACTAGTTTAGCATCTTGCATGTTGAACCTGGAAAGTATTTTGTTGATGTACTCAGCCTGTGATAACATCAAAGTCCCCGACTTTGTGTCTCTCTTAATCCTCATTTTAAGAATCTGCTTTGCAGCGCCCAGATTATTCATAGAAAACTGCTTCGACAATTCTTGCTTCAAGTGTATAATCTCTTGCATGTTTGAGCCTGCAATGAGCATGTCATCAACGTACAATAATAAAATAATGAAGTTGTTTTCAAACCTCTTGATGTAGCAACAATGATCTGCTTGGCATCTGGTAAAACCACTGCTACTCATGAAGCTATCAAACTTCTTATACCACTGTCTAGGAGCTTGTTTTAAACCATACAAGCTCTTCTTCAACCTGCATACCAGGTTTTTGTTTCCTGCCTCTATGAAGCCTTTTGGCTGTCTCATATAGATTTCTTCCTCCAAATCACCATGAAGGAAAGTTGTCTTTACATATAACTGCTCAAGATGTAAATTCTCTGCAACTACAATTTTCAACACCAGTCTGATTGTAGACAGTTTTACGACTGGAGAGAAAATTTCATTGTAGTCAATACATTCTTTTTGCTGAAAACCTTTGATAACCAATCTTGCTTTGTAGCGTTTACTCCCATCGTACTCTTCTTTGATCCTGTAAATCCACTTGTTATGAAGCGCTTTCTTGCCTGGTGATAATTCAGCTAATTCTCACGTCTGATTTGACATAAGTGAGTTCATCTCATCTTCCATGGAAGACTCCCACTTGATTGAATCATCCACCTGCATTGCTTCATCATAACACTCTGGTTCACCATTGTCAGTCAGCAACAAGTAGTGCAAAGAAGGCGAGTAACGCTGGGTTGGTTTAGGAATTCTGGAGGAGCGTCTTAGTTCTGGTGTGCCTGGTTCTTCTTGAACTGCTTCAGGATTGATCTGAACATCATTTCCAGAAATCTCCTCAAACTCAGCAAATTCCTTTGTTTCAGCTTCGGTATTGGAGCTACTTGATTTTATGGTTGACCTGCCTTTGTACATCACATTCTCATTGAAAATGACATCTCTGCTTCTGATGATCTTTCGATTTTTGTAGTCCCAAAATCGGTAACCGGATTCATCACCACCATAACCAACAAAGACACGTTTGTTGGACTTGGTATCAAGTTTACTTCTTTCAGAAGAGTTTATGTGTACATAAGAAATATAATCAAACACTCATAAGTGTGAAAGATTTATTTCTTTCTTGCTCCAAAATTCCTCTGGTATTCCACCATCCAAGGGAACTGAAGGCCCACGGTTGATCAGATAAGCTGCAATGTTAATAGCTTCAGCCCATAGTAATTTGGGCAATCCAGCATGTATCCTCATGCTTCTGGCACGTTCATTCAGAGTTCTGTTCATGCGCTCTGCTACGCCATTCTGTTGCGGTGTCATGAGAACTGTTGTCTCCATCTTAATCCTATTGTTTGCGCAAATATCTTGAATCTTCTATTTCTGTACTCTCCTCCATTATCAGACCTCAACCACTTGACTTTCAAACCAGTCTCATTTTCACCATGGCCTTCCATTTTCTGAAGGTATCAAAGACTTCTGATTTCTTCTTCAGAAAATAAACTCACACCTTCCTTGTAGAATCATCGATGAAGGTGACATAATATAGTGAGCCTACAAAGGATGGAACTGGAGATGGTCCCCATACATCAGTATGAACCAACTCTAACTTTTCTACCTTGGGTGTCTTGTCAATCTTTGCAAAACTGACTTTCTTTTGTTTGCCAAAGATACAATCCTCGCATAGTCCGACATCTACACTCTTTAGATCCGACAGCTTCCCTTTTGACAAAAGTGTTTTATCCCTTTCTCGCTCATATGACCAAGCCTTTGGTGCCATATTTGATTTTCCATCAGCATCTGCTGCAGCACTGATATTCTCTAAATTTGATGTTACATAGAGAGTATCAGTCTTCTTACCACGAGCAATGACAAGTGATCCTTTGGTAATCTTCCATTCACAACCTGAAAAGGTTGTGCTATATCATTCTCCATCAAGCTGTCCTACAGAAATCAAATTTCTTTTGAGGCCAGGAATATATCTCTCCCTTCAGCGTCCAGGTGGTCTGGTTTGGCAACTTTAAACGAATGTCTCCTTTTCCGACGATCTTCAAGGTTTCATCATCAGCTAGATGAACCCTCCCAAAATCACCACTGACATAGTTCTCCATGATTTCTTGGCATGAGATGGAGTGGAAAGATGCCCCTGAATCCAAGATCCATGATTCAATGGGACTGTTGACGCTTAGAATCATGGCATCACCTGTCTCCTCTACCATATTGGCAGATTCTTGTGCATTTGTATCTTTCTTCAGTGCTCAACAATCTCTTTTAAAGTGACCCTTCTTGTCACAATTATAACAGGTAAAATCTTTCTTTCCCATTCTTGATTTTCCCTTTCTGGATTTGGATCTGCCACGATTTGAATTTCTTTATTAAGTTCTCCCTCTAGATTCTGTGTGCAAGGCTGAGGAGGTTGATACTTCACCCGATTCTCTCTGTCGAATTTCTTCACTCAATACCAGATCCCGAACATCGTCGAATTTTAATTTGTTTTTTCCCGACGAGCTACTGACTGTTGTAACAGTAGAATTCTAACTGTCTGGTAGAGATGATAATAGAATTAAAGCTTGAACTTCATCATCGAATTCAATTTTCACTGAACTCAACTGGGTTATGATTGTGTTGAGTTCATTTAGGTGTTGAGTCACTGATGCCCCTTCTGCCATCCGCAAATTGAATAATCGCCTCGTCAAATGAACTTTGTTTGAGGCCGATGGCTTCTCATACATACTAGAGAGAGCCGCCATAAGACCCGCCGTGGTCTTTTCCTTTGCTATGTTGAAAGCAACATTGCGATATAACGTCAGTCGGATAACTCTGAGGGCTTGTTTGTCGAGAAGAGCCCAGTCTTCATTTTTAATGCCATCTGGTTGCTTTCCTGAGAGAGGTTGATATAGATTTTTCTGGTACAGAAAATCTTCAATCTGCATCTTCCAAAAGCCAAAGTTCGCACCATCAAACTTTTCAATTTTCACCTTCCCTTAGTCTGCAGCCATCGCTCCCACTCGAATCTGGCTTCGTTTGGATCGTTTATGATAATTCTTGCGAACCACCATGTATTAGAACACCTCTGTCGACAAATTCGTATCGCCGACAATTTTTTTTACTATTCACGTTAATAGTAATGAATAGTAATCTCACAAAAAAATTGACAAAATTCTCAACCAAAATCTCTGATTATCAGTTGTTGGGAAATAAAACGAGTACGAGTAATTTCCCTATAACCATATTAGTGAGAATGCGAAATAAAAGCGGGAAAATAATACCCGAAATTTATAACGGAGTTCAGCCAATTTTGCCTACGTCTCCGGACTGCTGCAAATCTTTTACTAAGACAGAAAATTTACAGGTGTTTACAAAACACTCAATACTCACAAGAAAGCTCTCTAATATTGGGAGAAAGAAATGATTTGGGATGATTTTAAAGTTAAATGGGCTAGGGTATTTATAGTTAAAGCTTAAGGATTAATCTTGTAAATACCATAAAGTGTGCAGTGGCTAAAATATAATTAACCCTATTACAAAAAAAAAATAGGAAAAATATTGACAGAATTAATTGCACCGAATTCGGTGGAATTCTGTGCCCCATGCATCTCCATTGTTGACTTTTTTTTTGATAATGTAAGACCTCCCAAGGCCAGGCTGAAGAACCCGACCCTATAAGACAACCTCCGGATGGGCTCAAAGAACCCACCACTCTATCCTCCCGCTTTTTTCTAGGATTCCCACCAGCGCGGTTCGAACCTAGGACATGAGACCAACTCATAATCCCAAGAGTCATTGCTTTGCCAACCGGATCCGTGCCCCCTTTTATTGATATTTTCCAACATGATTGCTTGGAACACTTATCTCAGGCCTAGAAGTTTAGCAATTTCATTAAGCCCGTGGATCCGTATGTGGGATCTGAAACATATTGGTTTCAGGGTTTGTGTCTTTGAATCCTTTCGGGATTCTAAAACCAACTGATATAATTTTTATACTTGATGTTGCACGACCGTTGCATTGGGTCCCAGTAAGCTAATTCCTTTTTGTTCTTAAATTTCATTTTAATCAACTTCTCTTGTGACGGTTGCTAGATACAAGAAAATGGATGCATGCATTACTCCTTATCCAGATGTTAGTAGCCCAGAAGAAGTCGCAGGTGGGAAACTGAAGCCATTCCCAGAGAGGCTACATGCAGTCCCTCCTAGAATTGCTAGTGGAAGTGTTCCTGGAGTTTCTGTAGAGACATACCAAGAGGACAACCAGAAGTGGACGAAGCATGTTGATGCTTATAGGAAAATCAATAGGCTTATAGATTCTGGGCGGTATCGTAATATTTTGGACATGAATGCTGGGTTGGGAGGGTTTGCTGTTGCCCTTGATTCTTCCAAATTGTGGGTTATGAATGTCATTCCCACCATAGCAGAGAAAAATACCCTGGGTGTCATATACGAGCGTGGATTAATTGGCATCTACCATGACTGGTAAGGCTTACTAAACTTAGGGAATAAATAATTTTGTTCATACTGTCTTTTACTGTTAAAAATGGTATGCTATATTCTTGTCTGTGGAGAAGTTTTCAGGTGATAAGAAAGAGGTAAAAAGAAGTTACGTTCCATTAATCTATTTTGAAACAGGAGAGAGATCATCAGGCAACGTAAATTTAAGCTATATAGGAAACTAGACCAGGATTTTTGTACCTTAAACCGCTCTGGTTCACTTGCTATGGTGGGGCATAACTTGAACTTGGTTTTGTTGTCCTCTGGTTCAGGTGTGAGGCTTTCTCGACATACCCGAGGACATATGATCTCATTCATGCCAATGGTCTTTTCAGTTTGTACCAGGACAAGTAAGTATCCCTAGTTAATATGCTTTCCATTACTTTCGAGCATTCTAATATATATGGATTCCTTTTTCTTTTTCTTTTTTACCTAGTGTTGAGATCGAATGAGTTCAAAATACCTGTTAAGAGCTCGCTATTGTTAGAGCTATTGACATCCCATGTCTTATCATTAGAAAGAAGTTCACATATTCGATCTGATGTTTGCAGATGTAGTCTGGAGGACGTTCAATTGGAGATGGACCGAATTTTGAGTCCAGAAGGTGCGGTTATATTCCGGGACGAGGTAGATGTTCTCATTAAAGTGAAGAAGATAACAGCAGGAATGAGGTGGGACACTAAGATGGTTGATCATGAAGATGGCCCTTTGATTCCTGAGAAGGAATTGGTTGCCGTCAAACAATATTGGGTTGAAGGTGGAAACTCAACAGCTGCATAGTGATCGGCAGGATAGAGCAGATTTTGAAACTTGTGTTCTCTGTTACAACATGAATTCCTGCCTGAAAATTTTTGCTGCACGGTTTTAGGGAGGCGATTTCGGTAACAAACTATGGATCGATATCGATCACTGTGGGTTCATTTGTATTAAATTATGAATAGACTGCTTTAAAAGCGTAAATGCATCCAAAGTTTCATCATATTTTTAGTTTTGGTCATAATTGCAAAATGTTAGCTCGAGAAGTTAATGCACGATTCCTTGCCTGTCAATGAGTTGTCAAGTTCTTTTCTTCTTTAGTCGGTTATCCATTTAGGAAAACTTCTTTCAACCCAAACTCTAAATTTTATCAAATTTGATCTAACAATTAATTAATTGCAAAAGAAGAGAAGGCAAAGTTCTCAACACAGCAGAGCTCCAAATTTGTGGTAAAATGGTGATAATAACCAAGTTTTGGTCAAGCCACTAGCAAGCATGTGGTCCTCCGTGATTAAACATAGCTTTACGGATGTTGTACAGCGGCGCCTACATATAGTTTTTAAGCCAAGCAGCCAGGAAGAACCCTCTGAACTCAGAAACTCTCCTCTTCCTCAGATTCAGCCTTCGGGTTTCACAAAAATCTTGTCGCTTTAGTGTTTGTTTCGGCCTTGGGTTGTCTTAAGAGGGAAATTTTACTTTTGTTTTGTATGGTTCATCATCACTTCCCCTACTCCCAGGTTTTTCTTTCTGTCAGCTGAATTTCGACAACTTCATGGCTATGGTTACATTTACAACAGCCTTGTTGAAAAACAACGGCGAAGATGGAGAAATTGGAGTATTCGGAGCTGAAAAATACTTCAATGGAGCAATAGATGGTCCAAATCCAATACCAACCAAAAAAGATTCAGACAAGTCGGAATGCACGAAACATCAAGTGATCAATCATGAGGCGATGAAGCCATTGGCACGTCCGGCAGCTCCATGTATACGTTCAGAATCAAGCTGGAACAGCCAAAATCCATTACTTAATATCCAAAAACCTCGGCCGAAACCCAGTAAGCCCGTAAATGCGAAGAGTTTCTTTACTTCTCTTGCCCTCTGTAAATGCTACTGTTTCGACAGAAACTCCATTGATATGGAAGTGGGTGAAATAAGTTTCAAAAGACCCAAGAAAGAGGCACTAGTTCAAGGCAAACGAAATAAAACAAGAGCCGCTACAAAGGAAGACGTTTTCACATTCCCCACCATGGATTCAACCCTCTGTGTTGGGCCTATTAAACAAGGAGACGTTGATGAAATCGGAAGGAAATCGTTGGAGATATTCGGCTCTCCGGTACTCGGGACTGGGAGACAAAACAAGTCTTTGAATGTGGAGAGGAGGCGTAAAATGCTATCATGGGATCATGCAGTTCCCAAAGTAGAAGAAATTGATACGGGAAGTGATGGGAGTTCGGATTTGTTCGAGATCGAGAGCTTAACGGGAAAACCCAATCATTGTTACGCACCCAGCGAAGGCAGTATAGAGTGGAGCGTGGTCACTGCAAGTGCGGCTGACTACGATGAACCAAAGCCGTCCACTAGAAGTTTATCCAGTCCCATTAAAACGTTTCCCGCCAAAATCAACGTCCAGAGGCCGCCTTCTAGCGGTCTGTTGGGGTGTAATACCTCCAAAGCGGTAAAGGCAGCTGGTGATGCCCATAAAACTACAAATCACAAGGCAGGTTTAGACCCAAGAATGAGGCGTGTCTCGGACTCGTACATCCCCCTCACCACACTTCCACCCGACAATAAACTCGTTGCTTTTGAACCTCCGCCGATACTCACCACACGCTCTCTTCCTCCTTCACATGCACCACCACAAGCTTCTCCTCTCTTGCATATTCAGTAGCCTTCAATTACGTACTTGGACCTTGAGCTCATCTTACTTTATGTAAATTCTTGTTCTACTAAGTTGTCATGAGAGAATCAAGTGATTTCGGTGGCAAAGGGATTGTTGTTATTCCTTGAGATTCTGAGTTTGAGCATCAAGAAAGTCAATGTTCAATATCAAATGATTGAGATTTATCTTTGAACAAATACTATCTTGTACTTATCCCAGATTAATAAAAAAAATAAAAATTCGATTTATCTCTCTAAACTTAAATTTATTATAAAAATAACAATTCAAACTAATTCAACTTAAACTCAAAATGATTGGAATCAAAGAGTGAGACTGAGATGATAGGAATATACAGGGACGATCATAAGATTCTATGTTACAGGGCGAATTTGAATTTATAAAATTTTAGGGGCGAAACTGAACTTATAAAATTTTAGGGGGTAAAATTTTTAATAAAAAATACATTAAAAAATTTAAAAATATATGATAATTTTAGAATTTTAAGAGGGGCGACCGTTCCACCACCCCGCCTAAGTCTATCCCTGATAGTAGATAACCAAATTTGGCAGCTGAATTAATAAGAACATTACTTGAGGGATACCCTGTTTGGAATTAAGAGGATACGAAGGAAGTAAAGAAAGTTTCACCGGACTGTGCCCCTGGGGACCGGCGGGAAATAACAGCCATGTGCGTAAGAAGATGGAGAAATGAATTGGAAGGGCAGAGGTAGATCCATAACATAAATGCAACAGATCAATGAATACGACCATGGAACAACATTATGATGAAAACAACATATTTTGTGGTCACATAATTCCGTTAGACTTTTGGGATTTGTGGGAATGTAAATGATGTTCTATTTGCACAATATAGGGATAAAAGTTGTAGTTTTCATTTGGACCATTCTAAAATAGACGTCTTTGTAGATCGAATTAAAATATCATGTGATTTTTTTTTAAAAATTATTCTGAATTGATTCACTTAAATTGTTTATTTTAATATTTGATATATTTTAAAAAATTATATAAATTTAATCAAATCAATTTAATTGGATGAAAAACTTGATTGATAAATACATTTTATTTCAATGAAAGAAATGGACCAAATGACTGCACCATCATTTTTATCTTTTTTTTTATATGAAAAGCACATATAGGGATGTTGGTTGGTTATTTAATGAAAAAGACGAAAACGTCACAATGGTCCCTCGTTTTTGCCTCACATTATGGACCGACGGTGGCCAAAAGAACACTTTTGGAATATATATATATAATAGAGTTTGAGTTATTTGAAATTTTATAGTATTCTCTTTATTTTTTTTCATTTTTACAATCTTCTAATCTCCATTACCCTTAATAATTATCTCCAAATAAATACTTCATACATCACAATTTTAGAGCACCCAAAATCAAGCAATGGATATTTTAAAATTGTGCTGCCCATATCAATTATTATAATTACTTTTTTATATTTTTAAAATTTCAATATTCAATAATTATTTAAAATCAAACTAAATATGATTCCTCGATGAAGGACAAGCTAAGCCAACATTATTTTCTTCTTCCATAAAACATGATTTTAAAAACATTGTCTAAAATTAATATTTCAATTTCATACAAAATTGGCATTAGCTAATATGTAACGTGTGGCACTTAAACCCATTTCTAGATATCATTTCTATTATGAACATCAACCGGATGAGCTCAGACAACAAAAGAAGGCCAATGCATAAGCCTCCTATACAGCCTTTAACTCCTTAGTCTCAGAAACTTCCTTGAGAAAGCTTAGACTGGTTTGAGTGGTCCGCTTGCAAGGTGCTGAAGATAACACACACAAAGACATGTATGCATAAAAAGATCAGTTATGCTGGTTCTCCTTGAGTTTCTATGGGGATTTTTTTTTTTTCATTACCTTTTGTGCTCTTCTTGTTAGACGATAGAACAGTTGATTTCCACTCTTCATAAGCAACTTTCTCCGCTTTCTTTTTCCTCTTGTAACTTGAAGTCTGCAAGAGGCTGCTAATGTTAGTTCTACAGTACTTGATGTTCAAGAAAATAAGTGAATATGCATAGAAATACGGCACTTAAGATAATTGTTTTCGAGAACAATATCACAACTCTTCTAGTTTTTTTACAATATCACAACTCTACAAGTTTTTCTATAAAACATCAGACTTGCTAGACCACAGATGAACAATCCACGCAAAGCTTAGATATTAGAGACTTTAATCTCCTGAGTTCATCAACAGAACCCCCAGAATTGATTATGAAACAATAACACATCACTTGTTCAACACAACCAATTAAATAGTCGGATAATGTTACAGCGATTAAGAAACAATAACTTCATAGAATCAATCACAACACTTGTTCAACACAACCAATTAAACAGTCGGGTGATGTTACAGAACCACCAAAATGGATTATGAAACAATAACTTCATAGAATCGATCAGAGCATTTGCTCAACACAACCAATTAAACAGTCAGGTAATGTTTACACAATCAAATCACTAGGATTCATATCTATATAGAAAACAATGAATCCAACTTTCATCTAACACTCAATAAACTAATTTTATAGATGACACAGTATTATCTCAGGTTCGTCATCTGATAAATACCCACAATCATCGAATTTTCTTTTCTCAGGCAACACGTCTAGCAGCTCTGCGGACAGATAAAAGCAAGTTATTCCCCAATGTGTTGAAAATCAGCATATGGTATTAAAATTGTATTTTAAATGGTAACGACAAACGCATAAGGCAAGTCAAAATGAACTACCTCGGTTTCCTTTCACTTCCTTGGGATCCTTTTTCTCATTTGAGATTCCAAAAACATCATGGCACAGATCTTTCATGGAGGTAGAAACCTGCACTGAAAATTCCAAATAAATGCTCAGGGCACTAAACATTTACAAATTAACAATTGATACATGATATTGGGGGGGAACCATGTTACTGACACAAGAAAACCCAGATTCAGAGGTTCCACAAACCTCAATCAACCTATCATTGTCAATCTTCAGCTGGAAAGTAGGGTGTTTAAATCAAAAACAAGTAGAATAGAGGAATAAAAGCATTTTATACAATGATTACATGTGCATTACCTTATGTTTTTTTTGCACATAAGTAAAATGCCACAGCAGTGAACACTGGTCTGGTGAAGTCTGCACTCGCCTGCCTGGAAGAAGGCAGTGATTCCATAAACCGATCCTTATAGCTGACATAAACATTAAGTCACTCAAACAATTCAAAGAGTGGTAAAAGAGCATAAGAATTCATCTGGTGATCAAACCAAAAATGTCATGGATTTGTAAACCTAGCAATTATGAGAACATAGATCATCTAATTTTGGGATTAACTCATTCAGGCATTATTTCAAGCACATGAGTGATCAGGAAACATAATCTTATAAACTAAAGATCAAAGAATATATGAAATGGAAAAGGATCTTACAGAGATAAAGCCTTCTTCATAAAAGGAATTAGCCTAACACATCCAAATTGAATCCCCAATTCTCTAATATCCAGTGTTGTTCTGAAACACCATATTAGTCAAAACCCGAGCACAATAATAACTCAATTTTACAATGAAAGGGGAAAGTAGGAGAAACCAACTTGATATTTAGACCGTTCAGCAAGGAATTGAAATATCTATTGTAAGCCTTTTCTGGCATTTAACTTAACTTGACAGCTTTCTGCCGATCAAATAGAACCTCCCCAAACCTACAAATTTCATAACAACTACACATTAAGAAAAAAATCCCTAATCCAGAAAATTAGAATATATTCAAAAACAAAGTTAATGCATCCTACCTTGTGGCAGCAATTTCTAAGCAAATTACTGCTTTACAAACCTCTCCCTACAAAGAACGAAAAAAAGCAGGGACAATAAAGGATTACCACTTAAGATTTGAACTTCAATGGGATTAAAGTAATGAATGATTAGAGGATGAAGCTCTTACGACGCCGATAATGGAGGAATCTTGTGTTGTGAGAGATCAAGCTTTCTCGCTATATCTGACAGATCCATAATGACCCCAAAACCGTTACTGGATTTTCTCTGATTCTTTTATGAATCTATGGCAAAACAAAGAACTAAGCCTTTTGTAATTTTTTTTATGAAAAAATAGAAATTCTGGAAGAAATATAAGTCCATTTTCTGCAATGGAAAACATGAGTGAGTCTTATATCACGCATTCAGGATGAGTGAAATTTGAATCGGATTCGGAGTTATACCGATCACTTTTGCGAACCCGAGTCCAGATCCTATGGAAGAGTAAGAAAAGGACATGATTGCAGCAACCACTGAAAGCCATTTCATGTTATGGAAATCTGGTATCTGTGACATTACAGCCTGAAAAGCACCAAATAGGAACACGTAGGAAGTATCTTCATATGAACATGGAGCATTGTGGCCTTCTGTGTGGTAGCAGTTCAATTTATGAATTGCCCTGTATTAGATGTTAGTACGTGGGGTTAAAAAACTTCAGCAGTAATTTACCTATCGTTATATCCGATAGCCATGTCCGGCATATATCTGGATACGGAGTTCGGAATTATGAGTTTCTTAGGACTCTTCATACATGGAAAGAAAGAAAAAACTGAAAATACCCATATCACATACATATATGTATCTGATATTCATACCTGAATCCAACATAGTATATGTATATATATATATATATATATACACTGTATCCAACTCCAAGTTACACATATGCAACGTAAAGAAATTAGTTAAAGAAGGGAAGCAAGTAAAGAGTAAGAATTGAATCATACTTGATGCTGCAAGTGGAAGTTATGACATAGGCAAGTGCGGTCCCATACAAGCTCCCCATTAGAATTACTCCACAGAGTCTGTGTGTCTTCTCTCCTGCATTTGCATATACATTTTCCATGTTTTTTTTCACATGTAATTCTTTCATCCCCAAAGCTTAAATTAAGTAACATCCGTAAAAAATTACCAAAGGCTTAGTTCTTTGTTTTGCCATATATTCATAAAAGAATCAGAGAAAATCCAGTAACGGTTTCAATGTGGGATATATAATTGCATCCGGATTTTGTACATTTGAAAGCAAAATCTAAACAGGGCTCACCACAGTAACTGCAGTCCGGATAGTAATAGGTCTTTTTAACAAAAGCCGCAGGATGCTTGTGTTTTTCTTCAAAGATACTCCA